CCATCTCCTCCTACTCTTTTCAGGAAAGAGTGGGACCAGAAAGACAGTCTTTCTCCAGAGCAAGAGTCCTGGAGTAGGAGACACGCAGGGGTGACTCAGGCCCTGCTTCGGGGTTGTCTCTCCTACCAGTTCCTGGTGGAGGCGGGTCCTCTCTTACTGTGCCTCTGAACGCCTTCTAGAGATGTTTACAACTCTCGCCTGACCAGCTGTCTGCCACATTCCCTTCTCCCCTCCCACCTTAGCTCCTGCCTCACTTCCCCTTGACCATGGCCCTGGGTTTTCCCATTTTCTGCCTCCATCGTGATGAGCCCTGATAATATCATGGTACTTACAAGGAATTTAGACCAGGCTCCCCGCTTTTCCAGGTGAGGAAACCGGTCGAGAGGGGAAGTAACTAATCCTGAGTCACACCGCTTCATTCATTTATTCACTCAACCCAGAGCACTCCTTACCCTTTAAGATTTAGCTTAAATGTCACCGCATCGGAGTAACCTGCTTTGACTACTTTATCTAAAGCAGATCCCCCTCCCTCCAATTCTTCTCTTATTAATCTTTTCGATCTCACTCCTCTACTAGAATATAAGCTCCACGAGGGCAAAAAGGACATGTTTGTCCTTCAGAGGCATGCTCCTCATTGTATTCTCAGCAGCCAGCCTATTAATAAGTGGTTCAAGAAATCTTTGCTGAACTGCTCAGCCAGTGTGGCTCAGTGGTTTAGTGTCAACCCATGAACCAGAAGGTCACAGTTTGATTCTGTTCAGGGCTCATGCCCAGGTTTTGGGCTCCATCCCAGTGGGAGGGTTTGTAATCAATGATTCCCTCTCATCACTGATGTTTCTATCCCTGTCTCTCTCTCTGAAATCAGTTTTTAAAAATAAAAATATATGTATTTTTTCCTGATTTTTTTACAGAGAGGAAGGGAGAGGGATAGAAAGTTAGAAACATAGATGAGAGAGAAACACCCATTAGCTGCCTCCTGCACATCCCTTACTGGGGATGTGCCCACAACCAAGGTACATGCCCTCGACCGGAATCGAACCTGGAAACCGTCAGTCCCCAGGCCGATGCTCTATCCACTGAGCCAAACCGGTCAGGGCTCTCTGAAATCACTAAAAAAAATAAATGTTGGCTGAATTAATGAATGGACAGTGAGCAGGTAGCCTCAAAGCACGTGGGGATATGAAAATAGATGGACCCTGCTTTCAGAACTGCCCTGTTTAGCCACAGAACCAGAACATTCGGAATGTGACGGTATCAGGTCCAGATTGGAGATCCAGATTGGGGATTGGGGACGGGGTATTTCAGGGGCACCTAAAACAGTCTTAATCTGCCCAGCCAGCTTGGCTCAGTGCTTGGGCATCGACCTATGAATCACGGTTCAATTCTCGGGCAGGGCATATGCCTGCCTGGGTTGCAGTCTCAGTCCCTAGTGAGGGGCGTGTAGGAGGCAGCCAATCAATGAGTCTCTCATTATTGATGTTTCTATGTCTCTCCCTCTCTGAAATCAATAAGAATACATTTTTAAATAATAATAAAACAGGCCCAATCTCTCTAGGGCTTTTGTTACCAACTGCTTAGAAGCCAGGATAAACCATTTGGCTGGGACTCGGGCCTGTGTCCTGAGCAGCCCAGTAGCATCAGGGGCTGTCAACTCATCCACCAGAGAGTGCGCTCCCCTTCTGGTGAGGGTGGGCCTGGCCGGCAGTTCCCCAAGTCCAGCTGGTAGCCAAGTCCACGTTCATGACAGCCCCACCCCTTCCAGCCTCGCTTCCAGCCTTTCACCTGGTCTGCTTCAGCACAGAGCCTGGGCAGCACTGAGGAAGGCGACACCTGCCTAGCCTTCAGGATTAGCGGGGTGACAGATGTCCCAGCTGGTAGCCTTCATACCCAGAGGGCAGATGGGTTGTCCCATGTGGCCCAGAGCAAGCTAGTGCCCCAGAGAGAAGCGGATGGCCTGCCTTCTTGTTCAGGAACCCCGAGGAGGAGGAGGAAGGAGGGGGAGGTGGAGGAGGGGGAGGAGGAGGAGGGAGGAAAGCAGTGAGAATCCCTTTCTTTGAAGCCCCTGCTGGCTCTCCTGGGAGAAGCTCACCCCTCAGTGGGGCAAGATGGCAGTTGCTGCTGCTGTTTCTCAAAGCTCACAGCACGCAGGAAATCTTTTCTTTCCTCTTCACCCCAGATTCACCCTCCACCCCACCCGTCAGGAGCCATAAAGGCAGACTCAGGCCCCAGCCGCCTGAACCCTCCTCCCAGCTAAATGCTGGGCCTACCCAGAGCCCCTGCCCGCCGCCGCCGCCTGTACCAGGGTCCTCCACTTCCTCCGTCATTCCCTACCTGCAGCCCGGCCGTCTGGCCAAAACGACTCAACACCTTGAGTGTCACGGAGCAGTTTCAGCTCTCACCCCCATGGTCACAGGGGGGTCATCTCCAACTCTGTTCAGAAAGGCTAAGTAACTGTCCAAGGTCACACACGGGGAAAGTGGCAAAAACAGTCAAACAAAAAACCCAAACCTGCCCCTCCTGCTCAGTAGTTTGGCAAGAGCTGAGATGATCTTTGTGGGAAGGGTACAATCTGTTTCTTCATTTCGCTGCCTGTGGATGCTTCTGTGCGTTGGGGAAGGGGATTGTGCGTGTGTGTGTGTGTGTGTGTGTGTGTGTGTGAGTGTGAGGATGGCGGGGGGGAAGGGGGTGATGTATTCCTTCCTAAATGGGCCTTTGACCTCCTTAGTTCACTCTCTCTTCCGGAGAAGTTCCTGCTTTAACTCTCCTCTCCCAGCCTGGACTGTGTGTGTGTCTCACAGAGCAGAGCCCCATAGCAATGCGGAGCAGGTGCAATGTTTTCCTTCTCCAAAGAGCAAAGACGCCCCCATCCAAATAGCCTCACTTCCCCCCAAACGGTGCAGCAAAATCAAAGCAGCCCCCGGCCCGGGCACAGCCCGCGATGCCCCGCTCTGCGTTGGAGGCGGCGGGCGGCGGGCGGCGGGCGGCGGGCGGGGGGCCGGGCGCGCGGCCAGGCGGGCCGCACCGGGGGGCCGGCCGCCCCTCTCGCCACGTGGCGGCGGCGGGGTCCGGGGCGCCTTCCCAGCTGGAGGACGCGGAGCAGCCGGAGAGGAGGAGGCGGCGGCGGCGGAGGAGGAGCGGGGCGGGCGGGAGGGAGGGGGCTGGGGGAGGGCTGGGGGTGGGGAGGGACCCGGCGGCGGCGACAGGGCGCGAGCGAGCGCGGTGCCAGGGGGTGGGGGCACCGGTGCCCGTCTGGGGAGGGCGCCGGCGGCGGGGGCCGCTGCGATCGCAAGCAGGAACCGCGAGGCCGTGAGTCCCGGCGGAGCGGGCGGGGGAGGGGAGGGGAGCGCCCGGGCCGCTCGCGGGGGCCGGCGCTCGGCCCAGGATGGCGGGGGAAGGACCCGCGCCGCCGCCCGCAGGCGCCCTGGCCCGGCTCCCCGCTCCCCAGGCCGCGCCGCCTCCCGCGCCCCTGCCTGGCCCGGGGCGGGCGCCGGGCCCTCCGCGCGGGGAGGGGGCTCGCGGCCCGGCCGCAGAGGGAGGGCGCCGGCCGCTCCGCGGAGCCGCAGGGGGTGAAAGGGCGGCTCTTAAAGGGGCCGCAGAGGGCCCGGGCCGAGGCGCACCCCCTCCCCATCCGCCCTTCGCGGGGCCGCCGGAGGGGAGGCGGCGGGGAAGGGAGCGGTCGGGCGGCCCGGGGCCTGCGCCCGGGCTGGTGCGGGGGGCCCCCGCGATGGCGGGCCGGGGTCGGCGTGCGGGTGTGGAGCGCGCCGGCCGGCGGGGTTGGCCGGGGGGGGGGGGGGGGGGGACGGGCCTGGAAGGAAGGGGTTAAAGGTGGGGCGCACACACTCCGGACTCGGGCCCGGGCGCACGCGTGTCGCTGGCACGGAACCGGGGGGCGGCGCGGGGCGGGTCCCGCTGCGGGGCCTGGGGCGCCGCGAACCCCGCCGTCTGCACTCGCACCCGGAGCCCTCTCCCGCGCGCACACGCACACACACACGCGCACACACACACACGCACACACACGCTCCGGCGCGCGCGCCTCGGACATTCCCATGGTGCCTCACGTGACCCAGGCGTGCCCACCCTCACACACGCTCACGCACGCGTGCAGGCACACACGCGCGCACACACACACGCACGGCCGCTTCCCGGCTCCAGCCCGACCCCCGCCCGCAGCCCCGCCACGCGCTCCGGAGTGCGCACACCTACACCCATTCACAGGCACCGTCCCCCGCGCGCCGGCGGCAGACACATTCATAAACACGCGCACCCCTCGCCTCCTCCCAGCCTGAGTCATCCCGGCCCCCTCCCCGGGCTCCCATCCCGCCGCCTGCGCGCCCACAGGGCGGGCGTGGGGTCCTGTCACCTGGGCCCGCCCGGCCCGGTGCGCCCTGCCGGCTCTCCCAGGCCTTCCTGCGGCCCAGGTCAGGGGTGAGGAGGGCCTGGAGCGCTGCCACGGCCGGGCCGGCGAGAGTGGGGGAGGCACTTCCTTTTCCTGAACTCCGGGATCCTGCAGGAGGAAGCCGGGGAGCTGGGCGGGGGCCGCAGAGGAAGTGCTGGCCGTGCTGGGCTGGCCCTCCCAGGAGCACGGAGCCTTCTTAGAGCGGAGCCAGGGGTGCCAGGGCCCGGGATGAGGAACTTGGCAGAGAGGTATTTGGGGAAAGGAGGCCTGGGGTGGAGAAGGGGCCAGGAAGGCAGGTTCCAAAAGGAGCCCATCCCTGCCTAGACCGGCCTAGGTGTCCCAACTGGCCACCTCCCCCTGGCTCCCCACCCCCAAGTCTTCACCCAGCCCCTCGCCCCGATGGGTGCCGAGAAGAGAAGACGGGGCTTGGCAGTCCGGGAGCGGCCGTGGGAGATGGGGCGGGTGGGGGTGGGGGGCAGGACCAGGCTGCCTCTCAAGCCAAGACTAGGGGCGTCAGGGGACAAGCGTCCGGCCACCCCTCCACCATGTCTCGTCTCCTGCTTGCCCAGGAGGCCCGAGGGGTGCTGCAGCCCAGGCCCTCGCCATGGAGTCCATGTTTGAGGATGACATCAGTATCCTGACCCAGGAAGCCCTGGGCCCCGGTGAGGTGTGGCTGGACGCTCCCGGAGACCCGTCGCTGGGGGGAGACATGTGCTCCGCCTCCCACTTCGCCCTCATCACGGCCTACGGCGACATCAAGGAGCGTCTGGGGGGCCTGGAGCGGGAGAACGCCACGCTTCGGCACCGCCTCAAAGTTTATGAGATCAAGGTCAGAACTCGGAGACAGACGATGGGGGTCCGGCTGTTTGTGAGTGGGGTGGGGTGTGGGGTGGGGGGCTGCTAATGGCAGGAATTGGGGATCAGCAGAGATTCCAGGGATCCAAAAGGGAGGGCAGGACACAGACTCGTGAAACTTGAGAGTCCCCCATGCGAGGTGTGGCTGCTCTGGGTGGGAACGCTGAGCGCCCGGAGCCAATCAGGAAGCGGTCAGGAGGGATGCGCTTTGGAGGGGCGGGTCTGGGGATCTGAAGGTCCGGGGAGTGGGGACGCACTCAGGCCCCCGGGCATTGGGATGTGCAGATCCCGCTGGAGGAGGGACTCGGGAACAGGCCGTGAGGCAGGGGCACAGTGAGCCTGCAGCCTGGGCAGGGACCCAGGCACCAGCTCTCCTGAGGGCCTGCCCACCGCCCGCAGTACCCACCGCTGATCAACAACTTCGGAGAGGAGCACGGCTTCTCCCTGTATGAGATCAAGGATGGCTCCCTGCTGGAGGTGGAGAAGGTCAGCCTGCAGCAACGGCTCAACCAGTTCCAGCGTGAGGTGAGGCCCTCGAAGGCTTCTCTGCTTTCCCTAAGCTCGCCCCAATCCATTTCAGACACCCCCCCCCCCACACACACACACACCCGCCGGCCTCTGGCCTTCTGTCCCCCGGAGCAGGGACGGCCAGGATCCTCCTTCGGGCTGGTCACAGGGAACGGGGGAGGAGGCGCAGGGAACTGCTCAGCCCCTGAGTCAGTGAGGGGCCCGACTGGCGTGCACCCCAACCCCCTGGGCCCCCTCCAGTTGCAGAAGAACAAGGAGCAGGAAGAGCAGCTCGGAGAGATGATCCAGGCTTACGAGAAGCTCTGTGTGGAGAAGAGCGACCTGGAGACGGAGCTTGGGGAGATGGTGAGGCCCGGGGAGCCGGGGTGGGAGAGGGTGACCGGGGTGTGTGCCAGCCATCACCCTGTGAGTGTGCTCAGGGTGTGTATCCCGCTGCGATCCTGTGTGTCTATCTGTGCATGCTGTGTGTCTTGTCCGTTGTGAGTGTGCACATACCCACGTGCAGTGTCGGGGGGGTGACTGTGTGAGTGACCCCGTAGAACACGGTGGCTCTGCGGGTATGTTTGAGTCTCCTGCTGGGCCTCCCCTAGGCCCACAGCGCGGCTCCTGGGAGGCCTCGTCAGCGAGGGCAGAGGGGACCAGAAGTGCCTGCGGCTGCTGGAACGGGTCTTGGCACATGTGTGATTCTGGGTCAGGATATGGCCACGTGCATGTGAGCAAGTGGGCAGGGGTCAGAATCAGGAGGCGTGGTTTCTGTCCGCTCCTAGCTGCCACCTGGGTCATGCTGCTTAGCCTGCATTCCTCCTCTGGAGAGCGGGCAGATGGCTTCACCGAGCTGTGGTGGGCATGAGTGTGAGAATGCCTGGCTTTTCATAATCAAAGCGCTCACACGTGCCGAAACCAGTTTGGCTCAGTGGTAGAGCGTCGGTCTGCGGACTGAAGGGTCCCAGGTTCGATTCCGGTCAAGGGCATGTACATTGGTTGCGGGCACATCCCCAGTAGGGGGCGTGCAGGAGGCAGCTGGTTGATGTTTCTCTCTCATCGACGTTTCTAGCTTTCTATCCCTCTCTCTTCCTCTCTGTGAAAAATCAATAAAATATATTAAAAAAAAAAAAAGCGCTCACACGGCACCTGCCATGTGCTAGGCACCACGCTTATCTCTTTTATTAATTAATTAATTTATTATTTATTGCACTGGTTTTTTACAGAGGAAGAAAGAGGGATAGAGAGTTAGGAACATTAGTGAGAGAGAATCATCGATCAGCTGCCTCTTGCACACACCCTACTGGGGATGTGCCCACAACCAAGGTAGAGGCCCTTGACCAGAATTGAACCGAGGACCTTTCAGTCTGCAGGCTGATGCTCTATCCACTGAGCCAAACCGGTTTCGGCCACTCTTATCTCTTTAGATGGTTACTCATTTTCATCCTCATCACAAACCCAAGAGGCAGGTGTGGCTGCCCCTATCTCACAGATGAGGTAGATGAAGCCGGAGTGGTTGTCACACATGCAGATGGAAGTCACCGCACTCCTGTCTGGACAGGGGGCGGCGGCTTCCTGCGGTGTCCCTGTGTTAGTGACAGGGAAGGGGCAGTAGCCAGAGACATCCGCTCTGCAGGAGCTGGGAGTGGAGCCCTCGAACTCACGGTCTCTTGGAGGGCGGAGTGACCTGGGGCCTGCTCGATTTGGGGTGATGGCTGTTCAGACATGGCATTTGGGGGGCTCCTGGGGCCCCCTTGTTTCCCACGCAGCGGGCCCTGGTGGAGACCCACCTGCGGCAGATCTGTGGTTTGGAGCAGCAGCTGCAGCAGCAGCAAGGCCTGCAGGACACGGCGTTCTCCAGCCTGAGCCCCCCGCCGGCCCCCGCCCCGCCCTGTGCGGACCTGGACCTGCACTATCTGACTCTGAGAGGGGGCTCTGGCTTGAGTCACGGTGAGATCCCAGCTCCCCCTAAATCTCCCTACACCAAACTCCCCAAGCCAAACCCCATGTCAACGCCTTTGGGCACCTCCTGCTTCTCGGGTAGTCAACACCCTGTGATAACATAACGCTTTACATTTCCCCCACAATCACCCCACCTCACCACCTGTTCCCTCACCCCATCCACTGTTACCCCAATTTCTGCCATCTAGGTCCCTCTCCCGCCACCCTGGCTACCCCCGTGCAATCCTCATAGGTGCCAGCAGAGGGCACCCCAAACCAGAGTCCCCTGCCTGGTTTAGGGTGTGATTAGGAGAGGTCCCGAGGATGCTCAGAGACTTGAGTCTGGCCGGGGAGAGGGGAGGGTGGGGGTGGGGTCCTTCAGGGGGGCCATCTTATTTCCCCTGGCCCCCAGGAAGGTTAGAAACAGCAGCTCAGCTCCTCCTGGCACTCTGTCCCTCAATCACCCTATCTCTCCTTCTGGCTGTCTGCCCTCTAGCTGTCTCTCTCGGACCCCTCCTGCTGCAGGCCTCCCCCCTCTCTCTTTGTGCTGCTCTGGGAGTCAGTGGAGGCGCCCAGCTGCTGGACTCCGCCTGA